AATAGCATTCTTAGGGCCGCAAGGGTGAAACTTTGGAATTCAACGCGAAAAGGCGGCGACGTGGCGAGCCAAGAGAGGAGAGGAGTATTGCCGATAGGGAAACGAAAAGAGTCTTATTAAAATCATAAAACAATACCGGGGCGAGCGGCGAGAGAGTTCGGCCGAAAAAGAAAGAAGAAGAAGAAGAAGAAGAAAAAGGAAGAAAAGGAAGAGAGGGGGGGAGCGAAGGGAGAAAGGAGAAAGTGAGGGACGGAGAGGAAGGAAGCGGAGGGCGGGGGAATTGAAAGCGAAAGGCGTAAGAATTCGAGGGGTGGATTCTCACGTTGGCTGGCTGGAACGGCGAAATAATGGGGAAAGTACCGGCAGCCGTCGCTGAATCTTAAACGTTATTTAATTGTTTAACGTAAGACGTTGAATTATGTTGTTATTTAATTAGAAACCGGGAAGAAGGGGGCGGGCGGCCCTCGATCCTCTCGCCCTGGCCATTCGTCACTCTCGAATCAACTTTCCGGTCAGATTCAGCGATGTTACCCGGATTAACCCCCTCGATCATCCCCCCGAAGCAGAGATTACGGCGCCATTTTACAGCGAGTAATACAGTAATACGAATCGATCGTAATATTTCTTTCTTTTTCGATCACGTTCGACGAATACAAATCGGCTGCTAATCTACGTAAAAAGTAGAAAAATTGCGCAAGAGCTTCCACTTCTGTACGTCGATGTAGAGGAAACGAGAAATCTGTAGCGCGAAACTCGCGTACGAGTGTTTTTAAACTCGATGCACCCATCGATTGGAATTCCATTCTCGAGAATTCATTCTCGGAGAAGAGAAACGGTGAACGAATAATAAACTTTATTTTCCGTTTCGATTGCGCGAACGATGATCGACGCGAATTGGCCGAGGAAACGCGTTGCTTCGTCCACTTATGGGGAGATTCGTTCGAACGAATGTTCGAGAAACGAATCGAACGAAATTATAACGTAATTGGAAATTTCAATGAAAGAAAAGAGAGAAGTTGGCTAATTAGGTTAGCCGAGATCCGTATCGATCACGAATCCTTGACTTCAGGAAGGATTTTTCCACGTTTTAGGAAAAGAAGAGAGCACGCGGCTGAAAGAATTAATATCCTCTTTCCCTGGGCCGAGGTGAATCGGGCCACGCAACCGCGGCAAAAACATAGCGCGAATCATCGTTTCCCGGTATAATTATCGCGAGTATTTGCATGTCAAAGGGGCCGGGCGTTCGCAGACTCGTGGCGTTCTTCGCCGGCTCTCTTCTCGTTTTGTTGGTTAATCTGCTTTCTCGGTGGTTTCTCGCGGTAAAAGGGTTCGACAGCGTGTACCTTAAGGGCTGTGCCTGATGCGGAGTAATTAGCACCGCGTTACAAAGTACAAAAGGGCGTATTGTCTGGCTGTCATACAGGGTGCGCCTCTTCGTCCTTCCCTTTAGAATTTTCCATACGACAAATCACGTAGCTTTCACGGTGCTCCTCCACCCGTAGTCCTTTCCGTAGTTGTTCCTCTCGTTTTTTCCTTTTCTTCTCCTTCCTCGCGTGTCTATCCTCGCCTCTCCCGTCAATTCTCGCAACGGGATTCAGAACGAAACGAAGAAGAGTCGACGAAGAGAAGAAGCGCACAGCGAAGAAGCGAAATTAGAAGAAGCGTAACTTTAAGACTGTCCACGCGATCCACGCGCATCATCTCACGGACCTTCTCTCTTCTTTTGTTCGTGCGTTTCACCCTGCCCCCTCTCCGTGTCAAAGCAGCAGGAAGCGGCAAGGTAAAGAGTTAGGGGAGCTACAAAGAAAGGGGGAGGAGGAGGAGGGGAAGAGGAGTGACACACAGACGGAAAGAGAAAGGGAGAGAAGGCGCGTTGTCCTAGCGATGATCAAAAGCAGTTTGCTCGCAGACTCGCCTCGAGTATCTTCAACGGAGGCGCGAGGGGATGAAAGTTCGTCCGGCTTCCTTCCACGCCTTTCTTCTCTTCGGCGTTTCTTTATCTTCGCCCTCCTTCCAGACCCTCTTATCTCTCCTCCATCGCTCTTTCCTCCATCCACTCTCAGAACCGAATACGCATCTTTCGCTTTATTGATTTTTCCTCGCGGCGGATATCGCTCGATCGAATTTCTTATTCCACGATAACGAACTTCGTTCGAGCCGAACGATAGGGGGCTCAACGAACTCCTCTCCTCCTTCG